CCTGTCAGATGTGCAGAGGGTTGGCTGCTACTTGGTTTTTAAAAAGACGTTATTAGGAAATCCCCTCACTAGTGAGATAATTGAAATTTGAGTTTGTAGCTTCAGTTTTATTTGATCCAATTAAAAATACATAAGCAGGCACTTTATATTTGTGTACGTGAAGTATTCGTAGCTCCAGTTATGACTAATGTGACTGTGGTTTCTGTAGTGTGGGATCTAATAAGGCAGTATAATTCAATTTTGAGCTTGTAGGCCCGTGTTTTCCAAATTAGGGCTTATGGACCATTAGTAATCTGGGCAAGGTTTCTAGTGAATCTTTGGCGTCTCCGAACATCTCTCTCTAGGGCTGTGTGTGCACCTTATTCCCCGTTCCTTGAAAACTGCTCATTTCTGGTATAACAGATTTATGAACAGAGAAAATACACATTTAAAATATTTACAGCTTTCAGGGCGTCTGGAATATTGCCCGAGATTTTATTATTGTTTTTCAAAAGGTATATAAGAATACCATCAGTGGGTCCCAAATTTTGACATACTTTATGGAGATAGGCTTGTGGCCTTTGGAAAAATCGGGACATAGATCGCTCTGTTGTGTTCCCAAGGCTAATTGTGAGCTGTCTATTAGGGGTCTGTCCCATTGATTGTGCATGGCACAGAAGAGTTTGACTGGAAGCCAAATTGGAAGATCAGGTTGGCAACCTCAGAGAGAGTTATTGTGAACTTTATGGCTCTCTGGCAACAGAGACAAGGTTTGAGATCTATGTATGATAAAATGATTAGGCATGAATTGTCAAGTAACATGGTTTATGCCAACCAGAGCAGGTGGTTTCATATAAGCAATGCATCACTGTAACCAAAGGCCTTGGGAAAATGTGGAGTGGTAAGACTATTAATTCTGGAGTTCTTTCTGTCCCAGGACAGATTTCATAAATGAAGTATGATTCCTTTTGTATTTAAACTTTTTTTCTTGATTAATGGACTGTTAAAAGCTAACCTGTATACTTTTTTTTTCTCCTTTTTCTTTTTGTTGGCTTTGGAATCTCCCTTATAGTAATCAGACTGCGTTATTGTTCTTGGTGTAGTCTGGCTATGTGCAAAGTAAATCTAGATCTCTTCTGAGATTTGGGTCATGTGTAAGTATGGTGTCACAGCTTCCCTGCAGTCATGTTTTTTATTCTGCAGTTATTTCTTTGCTTTTCATTTAGCTCTTCTGTCATAGCGCTGCAAACTCTTTCATTGTCATCACTTTAACCACAACTTTTAAATATTCTATATCTTTATAATTATTTTATAACTTATTATTAGCATAGTTGATGGTTCTCTGAACTCATCAGCATGTTACTTCAGGCAAACCACACAAGAAGTTGAAAGTCCAGTTAAAAGTGAAGTGGGAGAACCACAACTAACACTGCTGCATTTCTGGAAGATCTTTTGACAGTTAGTTTTTTGTATGTATTTATTTAGTTTTCTTATAACTATTTCAAATGCCAAAGGAAATCTCGAGCAGAATTGTGTCTTTTTAGAAACCACATCTTGGGCCGGCCCAGTGGCGCACTGCTACAGTGCGCCGCTTGGGAGTGCAGTGGCGCTCC